AGCAGCCCACATCCGAACTAGGGGCCCAAATCGCACCCAAGGTATCGGGAATCGGTCGGCATTCAGCCGCACCGCTGTGAAAAACGCAAGATGGGCAACCGTCAAGCAGTTTTTTGCACGGTCCTTAACACGGAAATCATCTGCATCTCTGCTCAGTTCAGCCTGGCCCCTTTTTTACAGACTCGTGAGAAAGGAGAAGACTGAATGGGTGGCGGTACAAGCTACGCTCCCTTGGGAATAGGTTTGAAGAGGGCAGCCTTTGAGGAAGCGGTTTGTTCCGTAGGTCCGGTGGTACAAAATGGCCTTGAACCCAGATTTCGCCTTAAGTTATCTTTTTCCATTGGCAGCTTTACCCAGCTTCCATGTTTTGCCAGGAAAGGATACAATATCCCTGAATTCTAACTGAGGGAACTTCTTTTTGAGCTGGGCTGCTCTCCGAAGTGAGCTGGTTCCAATCACACTGTGGGGAAAATAAAATCAATTAAATCCAGAATACTCCTACACCTACCTCCAAGCCAGAGATGTCAGAACCTTCAAGGAAGCAAATGATGACTACTACTTTTTCTTTAATTTAAACGAATATCCAAAAACATGCCAATGAAAACCACTCTGTGAGGTGTAGCATAAATCCTGGCTAAAGCTAGGTATGGGTAAGACGCTCCCAAGGAGCTGCTTCTGGATGGCAGTCCCTAGCCACAGTCAAGGACTGAGGAAACCTCATTTAAAGACCACATCACTTCTCACAGAAGAAAACGCTCACCTGTCCCAAACTGAACCAGATGTAGCCAGACAGCTGAAGTTACTGAACTAGAGGCACTTCATCAATGACATGAAGGCAGTGGGAGGAGAATCTCTGGAAACAGTAGGGTGCGTAGCTGCAAACCACAGAAAACCGCCAGTCTGGGCAACAAGCATTTCCCTTCTAGAGAGGAGTGCTATTCACTTTTCTTGGCACCCTGGAACCTGAACCAGATGTGATTTTCCTGCTATCCAGGTGTGCAAAAGCACGAGCCTATGTTTCTGTGACAGCTAGTTTGTTTCTTTTAACATAGGAAAAATAAAATCTTTCACATAGTTACTTTGAGTAATTTCCCTCAGATGTCTCAGGCAAAAGACTCCAATAACCTCTATGAAAAGGCAGGTAATTCCAAATTCAAAAAGAAATGTGAACTGGTTGGGTGAGAACAAGAGGGTAGCTTGCATGCCCGAACTAAAATACTGCACCGGACACCCGGGTTGCATCGTACGCATTCTCCTGCAGTAAGTAGAGTACAAAGGAGCAGGAATTCACTCTGGAGACTGTGATAAGAAAGGGTCTAACTTAGGAAGAAAATATTGCAACTGAATCATGGCTCAAGAGAGTCAACCTCTCTCGGTTTGCAGCGCTCCGAGACAGTGTTGCTCTTTTCAGCAAGTGAGTAGAAGTGTAATGTCTATGGAAAGCTAACAGAGAGCAGCGTAAAACGGCTACAAGATAAAGCACAGAGCTCACTGACTTGCTGCTGAGAAGTATCAACCAACTCCTCCCTTCCGCTTCTACACAGCTTTCTCCTTCCTCTTCCCACTCACCTCTTTTCAGGAAGGAGGCTCAGTGTTTTCCCACAGTTTTTGGGATGAAAGACAACAGCATCAAGGGGGTTTTCCCTTCTGCAAAATAACACAAGCACAGAATGGCTGACACATCACTTATGGAAGGCTGTCAAGCTTAACGGTTCTGCTATCTGTCCCCAGAGGAACTGCCTCTGGTTCCATAATACCCCATCATCATCATCATCGTAAAAGCAAAAATTTCCAGCAAACCTGCTGGCTACGGCACACTAGGACAGGTCTAGCCTCTCTACTGTTTCAGAGATTGATCAGAGGGTGGTCAAACTCTGAACACCTAAAAGGACCTACACTCCGTTTGTTTTTCTGTCGCTACCAACACGGTAAAACACAAGCCTGTTGGAGAATTGAGCCTTGCGTCCACACTTACTTGCAGACAGCGCCAATGGTAAAGCCAGGAGGAAGAGAAGTTGGCAGGTCCTTCAAGGAGTGAACCACGAGGTCAACTCTAAAAATCAGAGGACAGTACGCACTCAGCATGTGGTCAAGCTCACGCGGTACCTACCAGAGGCCCGCGAGTCATCTGCAGGAAAGTATGAATCCACCCTGCAAACTAACTTGGAGAAGAAGGAGGTATTTCAGGATTCTATAGCCAGGATTACTATAAAGCTCTAGCATTACCCCAGAAATGCTACATCACCTTTCCCTCTCTTCCCACCTGTAAAATTAAGACAATTCCTTCCCCCCCAGCAGCGATGCAAGACACGCTATGACAAACAGGCTGAATGAGGGAAAGACGCCGGAGATATTCACGTGGAGAGACGGATCGTACCATTACGCAACCAGTGTGCTATCCGGTACTATGCTTCCACGTGAAAATAACAGCTAGCCAAAGGAAAACCCATCCACTTCGTTACAAGACAAAAAAAGGTCATTGTAAATGCTTGAGAGTCCAATATTTTTTCACTGCTCAAAAATGCAGCTATCGTGCCTATGTGTCATTAATGCAGAGGAAAACCTCTGGATTTAAATCTACTTAAACTAAGGCATAAGCACCACTGAAAGCCTCCTCAGAATGCTGAACAAGAAAAAAAGACAAAAAAAAGAAGAAGCGCTAGTCTCTCTCTGCTCCAGCAGGAGCCCGAACCAAATTTTTCTGGAGAAAGAAGATACCTAGAAAGCAGTACAACTTAACCATGCCCAGTGCTCCTGCATAAGTAGCAGGCAAACATGTTAATACAGGTTAACACTTAAACACGTTAACGCCACCATGCAAAGTATTTTCAAAAGAGCGTACTTGTAAGCAGCAATGAGATTATATCCTCTCTGACAAGCAGGTAAGACAAAAATGACAGGAGAAAAAAAACTAACTGGGGGAGAACAAGCAATAACAAATCCACTTCAGAATCCAGAGTAAAGAGAGGACAGAAAAAAAGAAAAATATTATGACCCATCAGAGGATTTCTTTCTTACCCAGAGAGGTACTAGTACAAAGGGAAACTAGATCACATATGCAGCAAACCAAAGCTGTCCAAAGAGCACCAGAAATGCCAGATGAGGAAAAGAAAACAATGAGCTCTTACTCATGTCTTTCAAGTGCATTTTCCAGCTCTTTGGTGAAGAGGCTCTTCTCCCCAATCTACACATATATGGAATAAATGGAGGAATGCAAATTACAAGAGAAACATCTCCAAACAGTATTACTTCTTGTGTGCAGGAAGAAGTGATCCTTTACCTTGGAAAGCGCTGTATCCAAGATCTTGTCTCCGGTTGTTGACATGGCAACTGCTCAGAGAGAGAGAGAGAGAGAGTGCACAGGTAAAAGAGGCTCGGTCAGAGCACCAGACCTAGACCAGAAATGTCTTTGGAATGAGGCACACTGCCGTGGGACCACAGACCCAAGATCAATTTAAGAGCAGTATTATTCTTCTAGAAATATACCGTGCTCAAGACAAGTGAAACTGGTGCTTCCTTCACTGTCCTGAAAAACAGAGTGAGGGGAAAGAGGGCAGGTTTTGGGAAGAGTTGACCCAACAGAAATTGCCCCAGCCTTTCTCTGGACTGCCATTAGACAGCTATGCAGCAGTTCTCTTGGGCGCAAGGACAGGCTCCCACTGTTTCTGCTGAATGCATCAAGCCCCAGACAGGAAAATGTTCGTAATGCCCAGTACGGTGCGGCCAGAGTACCAGCAGGTGCTCAAATGGAGCAACATATCACCATCTGCATGACATAGTTAGAGTTTCAATCATCAGCAGCTTGTGAAATTCCTCTTTCTCACCTAGAAGACACCAGCAGCAGTTGCTCAGCCACACAACCTAACTGAATTCAGACGGGACTCTTAGATAAGCGGGGTCCGGTCCTGCTGCTCATGACAGCACTCTACACACACTTCTTGCATACAAAGATAAGTGGCTGGCTCCCCCTGCTGCCTGCCCCAGGGCAGCATCCAAAAAAACTCACCAATCTCAAATGAGAGGTCGGGGTATAGCCCACGGAGCATCTCAACTACGCTGTCGGTCTGAATCCGTGCCAACTGCAACGAAGCAGAAAGCAGAGCCCTAAACAAAGAGTACGTCATCCACACAGGAGCTAGAGAGGACTTTGACGTTCTTCGACGGTCAGGCATGCGTGACCGCTCCGTTCTCTACACTGAAAGCATCAGAAATTAAGGAGCCCCGATAAAAATCATTTATATGTACAAACTCCTTGAAGCATGTGAACTCTTATTTATCAATTCATTGAGATAGGAGAGTAACCTCCCCGCGTTCAGCACCATTGTGATCCCAGCACTGACAAGGCAAAGCAAAGAACTTATCAATTTAAGAAGAGCGACCAGAGCAGAAGCCTACGCGTCAGGATTTGCAGGCTCTATTTCCAGCTGTATTGGCAAAGTCGTCAGCTGTCCCGCAGACAGAAATTCCGTTTCTCTATAGCACCACCTCGGCATCCTTACTCGTGGACAGCATTTACCTACCTAACTCGGAGCCGCCTGGTTTCACCTCTGCAGAATGCAACTGGTTGAAAGATGCCTGCTCATCAGCAAGCAGGTGGGGAGGTAAGCAAAACCATCCTCTTGTTGCTCAGTGACAAAAGAACAAGTCATAGCACACGTTGGACACCCTCTGCTTTTTCTAAGAGTGTGAATTTTACCAGTACTGCAAGTTGTGGGAGAGGCCAGTAGGATTTCACTGTGCTGTTGGAAAAATCTGTAGTTACTGCCAAATATGAATTACTTATCCTCTGTAAGATCAGAACTGTATTTAGAGGTTTTATGGACACACACCCCAACTCAAACAAAATCCCAACCCAGGAACAAGCTTAGGTCTAGCAAGCAACAGATCTTAAAGCAGTGAAGCGCAGGAAGGGCATTCGCTTGCAGAAGAACAGCAGAAGCAAGCAAACCAGAATTATGCTAGCAGAGGATCATTCTGCACAGGCAAGCAGCAGCAGACTCAAACAACCGCAGGTGAGCTCAGCATTTCTCCCACTGATGAGCTGTGTAGCCCAGGGCGGTTAACTTTGTTCTCAGTACTGTAGTTTCCTTTTTTTTTTATAAGTAGCTGCTTCCCTTTGTAAAAGGCCACAAGAGCCTCAGGTCAGAAAAAGAGGTGGTGCAGGCGCACAGCTATGACAAGTCTTACCCTGGTGTCTATACAATTACACCCTCTTGAAAGTACAGAGCTCTTTCCAGAAGGTTATACCGGAGTGAACAGAGATTATCGAAGAACAAAGGTCCGAAGGACATTTATCTCCCTTTTCCAGCTTGCTGCGAGCAGCTGGCAAGAGATACCCGCTCTATCTCTAGACAGGCCCCTTCCCTGTCCTCCG